CTCGAGGTGACGTTCGAGAGGGAGAGATCGAGAGACAGTTCGGAGAGGGAGAGATTAAGAGGCATGTTCGAGGGGAGAGTTAAGAGACAGTTCGAGAGGGAGAGATCGAGAGACAGTTCGAGAGGGCAGAGATCGAGAGACAGTTCGCGAGGGAGAAGATCGAGAGACATTTCGAGAGGGAGAGATCGAGAGACAGTTTCGAGAGGGAGAGTCGAGAGAACAGTTCGAGAGGGAGAGATCGAGAGACAGTTCGAGACGGGGAGACTCGAGAGACCGGTTGAGAGGGAGAGATCGAGGAAACACCGTTCGAGAGGGAAGAGATCGAGAGACAGTTCGAGAGGGAGATCAAAGAGCCAGTTCGAGAGGGAGAGATCGAGTGACAGTTCGAGAGGGAGAGTTAAGAGACAGTTCGAGAGGGGAGAGATCGAGAGACAGTTCGAGAGGGAGAGATGAGAAGACAGTTCGAGAGGGAGGCATCGAGTGACAGTTCGAGGGGAGAGATCGTAACAGTTTGAGAGAGATCAGGCCAGATCGAGATGGAGAGATCAGGTCAGTTCGAAAGGAGAGATCCATAAGTTAGAGAGAGAGAGATCAAAACTGTTGCGAGAGGGAGAGATCGAGAGACAGTTTTGAGAGAGATCGAGAGACAGTTTGAGAGAGATCAGGACAGTTCGAGATGGAGAGATTAGGTCAGTTCGAGATGGAAGAGATCATGGACAGGTTTAGAGAGGAGAGAGATAGAAACAATTCGAGAGGGAGAGATTGAATGCGACAGCGAGAGATTGATGGAGGGATAAGCTGAAAAGGTGGGGAGGAGGAGAGATTGTGACAGAGGAGGGGGGTACAGAGGTAGCCACGGAAAGAAGACAAATCGGAGGGGAGAGGATGTAGGGAAGTGCAGCTGGCCGGACGAGGAGAGTTCGAGCGCTACACGGCTGCGTGCGTGGGCCTTGCCGCGCAGGTGGGCAGCGCGGGCGCGGGAGGCGAGCCGCTGTCCAAGTCGTACACGCCGCTGGGCGCGCTCTCCAGCATGCAGCCGCCGGGCACGGGGGGCAGGGCGGCGGGCCGCGGGCGCCTCGGTGGCGCAGGGTGGGCCGCACCCCACGGCCGCCGCCGCGGGCCCGCCGCCGCACCACGCCGCCCCGCACCACCACCACCATCACCACCACCACGCGCCGCCGCCGCCGCACCTGCACCACCACCACGCCCCGCCGCCGCCACCGCCGCACCACCACCACCAGGTCAGTTTCACTCCTTCGCTCTCTCTCTCTCTCTTTCGCTCTATCTATTGGGTCGTTAGGTTTGGCGCACTCGCGCGATTAGCATTTGAGGTGTTCCACAAGGTCGTTTTAAAAAAGTCATCGTTACTTTTATTTCTTACACAATACACTAGCTCACAACTCATGAAATATATGAAGCTCTAACACTATATTTATTACATCACTAGTTGCCTCATACGCGTGAATATCATTCGAGATGTTCCACAAGGGCTGCCTAGGTCGTTTTTAAAATAATGTCTTCGGGTTTTTGTTCTTATACACTACATTTATGGAAACACTAGGTCAGTGTTATATTTTTGTCCTAACACACTGTGGTTCAGAGTTCACTAGGTCACTTGTGTATACGCACGAATATCATTTGAGGTTCACCACAAGGACTGCCTCGATCTTTTTAAAAATAATGTCGAGGGTGCTCTCATTCCTTAGAAACGATATTTATGGAAACACTAGGTCAAATACAACCCACGAAATATATTTTAGTTCTAACTCGCTCTATTATCTAATATCTCTACGCACACAATTACCATTCAACATGATCCCCATTGTTTGCCAAGATCCTTGTGCGTATTCACGACACTATTTTGCTAGGCTCGTTCATCTGAACATACCTTGTCTTTAGTCGTTATTTGCAAGTCAATAAAGTACGAATACTGCTGGTTATAAGGGTGTTAAGAATCATGACAACGGATATTTTTATTTCTAACTTACCCCTATTTGACTTTATTAGCCGAGGACGTTTCTGTTACATTTCCACAAACACCCCTCTCTAATTAACCCTATTTTTCTATGAATTTATTTTTAACTTTTTTGGCGTGGGTTTCTCTTACTAGCCCCCATCCATCACAGATTGTATTAAAAATTCAATATAATCGCGATGCGGTCCAAGAATCTTAATGCTTTCTTAAAAATCTATGATTAAACTACATATGATATTTCTGTATTTGACATTTAGAAGATAGATAAATAAGACATTGAAGACAAAATTTGGATGACAATACACGAGTACGTGGGTTTTCGCCGAATCGAAAACTCTTCGATATAATTCAAACGACCAAAAAGGAGAAATTTAGTGATAGTGGGGTGCGAGCGGGGAATGCCTGAATCTGATTAATTGTCGAATGAGCTGCTTAACGTTCACATTATCCAAAATTGGTGGATAACGTCCAAAGTAGTAAACTTTGTATTCAAATCAGATAAAGTTTATTTGTCAACAAGATGTGCATGGGATAGATGAAGTACGTTACGGTGGTGAGGAATAGCTGGCAAATTGTGAAAAATAGGAATGAGATTGATGTTGAGAACTTTCTAAGTCTGGTGAATTCTCAAGGTCCATAGTTTCGAGTTCCTCTGTGTCGATCGTAAATTCCTATTTACACTATTCCTCCTAACCTAACCATGTTCCTGAGTTGAGGCTTTGCAACGCATTTCCGAGTTGGAACGACGAGGCATTAGCGATTTACATAAAACATCCTTGAGTCAGTACATCACATGATCGCCAACGTTCTTTTACGTTACGGTAACACAAAAGACTCTTCACACTGGGAGAATCACATTACTTTAGCCAACGTCTTGTGGACAATTCTAATATTAGCCGGATGAAGTCAGAAACGTTGATAGGATCGTCGCGTGCAATATATCCGCGTTACGTTACACACTCTACAAACAGATACCTCTCCACGCACACACACGGGATGTGTCAGAATAAATGTTAGAAACGTGTTGGGCGTGCAGAGGAGTCGAAAATGATCACTTATTGTGAATAAACATATGGTGGGAAATTGCATATTACGGAGTTGTGTATGCATTGGTACGTATGGCAATTGTCCGTGTTTATTAGACCACCTGTATGCATATGTGTTCTGCAACAACATGAAATCGACATGAATGCATCAGATCATGGTCTGATGAACGTCTTTGCGTAAGGAGTATAGGGATAAAATGTCGCATGTGTAACTCTATCCCTTTTTCACACATTTGCAAAAAGTTATCATCTTCGATTCCTCTCCATGCTCCAGAAGTTGTAACATGTCTGAAACATAATGTTTTGAGTACATTGTATTGTGTTATTATACACAATTGGATCAAAAGTATCCGGACACGTGGCTGAAAATGCCTAAACTATTCGTGGTGCCCTCCATCGGTAATGCGGGAATTCAATAGGGTGTTGGCCCACCCTTCGCCTTGATGACAGCTTCCACTCTTGCAGGCATACTTTCAATCAGGTGCTGGAAGGTTTCTTGGGGAATGGCAGCCCATTCTTCACGGAGTGCTGCACTGAGGAGGGGTATCGATGTAGGTCGGTGAGGCCAGGCACGAAGTCGGCGTTCCAAAACATCCCAAAGGTATTCAATGGGATTGAAGCCAGGACTCTGTGCAGGCCAGTCCATTACAGGGATGGTATTGAGTAACCACTCCGCCACAGGCCGTGCAGTATGAACAGGTGTTCGATCGTGTTGAAAGATGCAATCGCCATCCCCGAATTGTTCTTCAACATTGGGAAGCAAGAAGGTGTTTAGAACAACTACGCAGGCCTGTGCTGTGATAGTGCCACACAAAACAACAAAGGGTGCACACACCCTCCATGAAAAACCCACCTTAACACCGATTTGGAAGTGTCCGGATACTTTTGATCACATAGAGTAAGTGGTTAAAATGCATTGTGCAGGGAAAATGTCGAGTGAGTGCGAAAGCCTCGTTCTTTTATACTATTTTCCTTGTGTCTTCCCTGCTAGTTATAGTATGGTATATATATAATATATCAATATATACTCATATTATATATATTATATATCGTGCTGGCCGTGTAGTAAAACGCCTCTGCGCTGTCCGCTGCATGGCGTGCGTGGTGATTGTGGGGCGATCGGCTCATCCTAGGGTCGTCGGCGCGTCCTCCGTTCGAGCGCGCACAGCTGCTAGTGCGGCGGGTCGGGGGCGGCGGGGGGTGCGCTCGGCCCGGCCGTGACGGCATATCGCTTGGGCGCGGCCGTGCGCACGGCTGCGCGTGCCGGCCTTCACGCGCGCCCGGGCCGCCGCTACACATCCGGCCTACCGTCCCTGAAGCAGCCGCACGACGCCCATGCGCGCAGCGCGCACAGGCCGATCACACCATAAACACCGCAGCGCGCTACATCCATCTGTGAACGGCAGGACGCGCGCTTAGCGTTACGCGATCGACGAGTTATATCGAGGCACAGCACCGACTTGGTCCGACGTGATTGAGTTTATGTTATGTGAGGTATACATGCGTGTTCTTCCAAAATAGTGTTAAAAACCTATAGATCAAGGATCGTTCGCAATAGTTCGGAGCATTCTAATACCCAAAATTCCTGACAAGATGATAAGGGAAATCCTCGGTAGTATCAAGAGTAAGTATTTTTTTTGTGTCATTTAATAATATAACACATCATAATACATACTTATATACATAACCAATACTATATATATTATATATATAATTACTTATAACTACTGTTATTGTAATAAGCGTTTCCTCGAATAGAATGTTACGAAAAAAACCTATATACTCATATGGAAGCGTGGAAGAATATCAACATTTTGCCAAGGCCAAGTTATGCGAATCCTCTGTGTTGTTGACGAAGATTTTATCTGTTGTACATAAGTATAGTATAAACTATATATACTTTAAATATAGTAATATATAGATTATCATTTTATTACAGGTGTTCCGAAATAAATTGTTACAACTGAAACTGCTATATGATCATGCGGAAGTCCGGATCGAAGATTATCGACAATTTGAAAGTTGAGTTGGCAAGGCATGGGAAATATCATGGTTTACAACGAAGGTTTTGGTATAATATTATATATATAATATATATATATAATATACGTATATATATATATGTATCTATACACTATATCTAAATTGGCGACCGTCACCCTCTTTGGTTTGTTTTTACTAAACGAAACACCCCCTGGCTGGTCCGTAGGATGTGGTGCATCATTCACCAACACTCTCCGAATCGCCGCTGAAATCTTCCGACCATGCGCCAGGAAATTCACTTCGTTGCGGTGCGCAATCTAGGTGTTGCCGTGCGAAAGAGATGTCGAACATTCTCTTGAATGAGTCGCGTCAGTCCGCTCTGAGTGAGATGTCACAACTGTGTCGGAACAAGCACTTATCAAACATCAGTGCCTGACCAGAGCCAATAGAAGACTACTGACAGATATGCAACTTCGTTATAAGAGATTTCCCAACTTATGTTCATTGAAAAAATTTTGTCTTTTAGAATGTTCCGTAAAATTTATACTGAGACATCTGTATATAATAGAGAATGTTCTAAATATATGTTACAACCTTTAGGTCATGTTTTTGCCAATGCATATATGATGGGCAATCTCTTCTAACGAAGTCCCGCAATTCTAGAAGAAGTTATTTGACATCGGGAGCTTGGTTGCTTGCCGTCGTTTGACAGACACGGGAACTCTTTAAGAGACGACCTGCTCACTGGGAATGGGCAGACCGAACCAATAGGTCCCTTTTGCCAAGTTGACGTATGTTGTCTAATTTGATGTATGTTACATTCAATGCAAATCATGTTAGAGACTTCTTTTCTCCTCTTAAGAAACAGACACGAGCTGCCACTGGATTGCCGCGTGTCTGGGGTCGAAAATACCCAACCTGAGATCTCTCGGGCAAAGACCACCTGCCAGCTTAAATCGGGTTGCGAACTCTCACTTACCAAATCACAGCTAAATCAAAGAGATGAGAAAGACACGGATGTCATTGTTCAAGATATAGTCCCACTTATCAACTCTATGCGAATGATGACGGTAGGGTTCCGTTGTCAAGATAACACCAGTTACCTCCACGCCTGCATTAAACTGATTCAGTGGAGCACCCCAGGGAAATGGTTCTTGGAAATTCAGCCCCACCCCGTATAACTCCAATTATCCGTATTAAATATGAAGCTTTTACTGAGTTTCTATGCGAACAAAA